TTTTGTCGACAGAGAAAAAAAAAGATAGAAAGAAAGAAAGTACGAACGAACGAACGAAGAAGAACGCGAACTAGGCGAGAGGGTGACTATCGATCCACCAGCTATCTTCGTGGCTTTCGATCTTTACTTCGCACATCGAAAATTCATGCAAGTAGAGAAAGAGAGAGAGAGAGAGAGAGAAAGAGAGAGAGAGGATCGTTCTGTCGAGATTTACATTCTTCGAAAGATATAGAAAAGAAAGAGTGAGATAGAGTGAATAAGAAAAGAAGAAGAAAAAGAAGAAGAAGAAGAAAAATCAAGGAAAAAGTATTCGGTCTAACTCTGACGAAAAAGAAAAAAAAAGAGAGAGAGGGAGAAAGAGAGAGAGAGAGAGAGGGAAAAAAAAGAAAAGAATTTCTGAAGGGATCATAGATCTTTCTACTTCTCCTCTTCATTTTTCTTCTTAAGTACATACTTGACTACTATATGTACGTTTTTCATGCTATTTCATTTTCCCTATCCCCATCTACATATCTCTCTCTCTCTCTCTCTCTCTCTCTATTTTTCTTTCTTTTTTCTTCTTCAGTTACCGTCTCATTCTAAGTCTATTCCCTGATTGATATTCGCGAAGTGCCACCACGTCTTAGATGAAAAGAGAAAGGAGAAGCAAAAGGAAATGCAGTGACTGCAATCAACGAAAACGACTACTACGACGACTAACTCAACCCCCGTTCAACCTCTCGTCTGTTCGGTTAGTTATTTCAATTAGATTTGAATTTAGCGGTGTGAGAGATCGTTCGATTCATCTCTCTCTCTCTCTCTCTCTCTCTCTCTTTCTCTTTAGCTGGCTGCGAATCGTTCGCCCTTTCTCCAGGCAGACTCAATACCTTAAACTAATTACGGGGAGATCGAATCCACTCCACCCACTACTTCCAAAGCTACCCCTACGAACGGCATTGAGATTATAGGTTCGTGTACACGCCGACAACCGCCATATTGCTTCCTGTCCCTTCGATTTTCACTTTACGTTCACTTATCGAAACTAACCTATATATATATACACATACACGTACCTATATATATATATATATTCATACCCTTACACTCGTGCACTTTCTGTCTCTCTCTCTCTCTCTCTCTCTCTCGTTTTCAGTTTCTCCCCCTTTCCTGCTTTCAACGGGGTTCGCGATATTATCCGCATCCGGTTATCCGTTGGGCGATTCCCAACGATCACTTCGATCGTCCCGATTAACGATCATCGTTCCACGATTATACACGAGGATATGTCGCGTTGCGTTCGAGCGCGCGTGCCTCCTAAATTCAACCGGGGCCGCGTATTGTCTACAACAACCCGAATCGATTCCTACCAACGATATTTCTACGATGTCGAAAGCCTCGATGATGGATCGGCAGCCAGGGTTCAGAAACGTTCCGCGTTACGGACTCAACGTTATAGCTATGATATATATATATATCATATGTACGATGGAGACGAAATACGGATTTATCGTTCGGTTTACTTGACTTCAAAAGAAAACAATTCATATGTGTACGAGTTTTCAAAGATCGTTCATTTATTATTTTACAATTTGACGAATAGGTATGAACAATTATGTTATTTTTAATATTTTGGTTTTTTAAGTTAAACGTTTTGATTATTTATTTATTTTATACAAATTCATTGGTCAGATAAATATTTTCTAATATAATTTAGAATCGTCAACGAAATCTTAAGTATGAAATTTTAAATATATGGTAAATGTTCTATTTTGTATTATAATAATATTATTGTTTGTTTAAAAAAGAAAAATCTTTTTTAAGTTGTAATATTGTTTTGACGTTTAACACGTCTCGAGCGGGAAGCGACTAAAGTCGTTTTTGCATTTTTTAAATTGTAAAGTATCTGTGCAAGATGTGTTAATAATGAACATTATATTTTAAGTTATTTTTTTGAAGTAAAAACTTCTTTAGAATAGGAGTGATCTGGAAAGTAAATAAACGCGGTCAGTCAGGAAACGGAGCTATGAAACGGCTGCTATACTAAATAATGAGAGAAAAAGATACAAACATATAGGATTGAGCCAGCAAGAAAATGTTTCCGAAAAAAACCTCACTACTTTTCGGAAAAAACCTCACTACTTTTCGGAAAAAACTGAAGGACTTTATTAAATAGCTTTTAATCAATATATATCTCTTTTTATCCTTTTGACTCATTGTAGACAAACATAATTCTAATAGATCGCTTTTGTAACGTTTTGTTTTTATTTTCTATTCAGATTATTTGCAATTGGATGTTGTGAATTGTTAACTTAAGTGTCTTACGACCGAATATTAACGCCAGTTTCGTGAAAATTTGCTGAATGAAAATACTAGGGAAATTTCATAGAGTTCGACGGAAGGCGTTTTTGCATTTTTTTGCATGCAGAGAGGTTTTTAGTTACCATACATTTTTTAGTTACCAGAAGCAACTTGTCTCATTTCTTCGAATTGAAAACTTGCCTACTGTGTGATATGTTATGTATTATATGTTAATAAGAGGTAAATTAATTTTTGAAAGTGTTAACAATATAATAATAATCATTTTATAAAGAAACAACTCTATAATTATCCTACACCTGATATTCTGCATTCGTCTCATTCTCTCGAAACTTAGTTTTCTGAAGGTTTCACTTCTAACACGTGTGATCTGCCCACATGATATTTTTTTTTTTTCTAATAAACCAAATAGTTTGTAAGTAATTATCATCGAATAATAGTAACAATATATTTTTCGAATAATCTTTATTATTATTTTTGATTTTTTCGTCATGAAATACGTTGTTTAAAATATAGAAGATGAATTGGTGCAGAGTCATCGTTAATTAAAAATCTCGACTCTGTTGATGATCCAGTATAGGACGTTCTTTTGAACAAGAACCGGTCGGTTTGTGTAGGGCAGTTCAGTTGAGTTCAGTTCAGTTCTTCTTCGTCGCTCATTCCTTTTAGAAACGGTTGACAGGGTAGATGAGGTTTGCCAATGTTCGTAGTCGTTCCGAATAATTGCTTTATGTCCACCGACCAACCGACCTATCGATCGATCGATCGATGTCTAACATCCAACAAACGAATTTCTCATTACTTTACCGACAGTTTCGGTTGAGTACGAGGTAAAACCGCGTTAACGTTACACCAGTTTGACCGAAGGAGTTAGTTCGTTTATTCCTTTACGAACGAACCTTTTAATCCTTTAAGAATAACTTTCTATTTCTAAAGAGGTAAATCAAGTTAACAAACATTTTAATGATCCGAATTAATGATCTCACCCTTTTCATCTAGTTTCACTTTGATAACACGTTTATACGATCAAAAAGTTTCTATCAGAGGGTGGGGAAGTATATTGAAAGGAAACTTTAAAAGATTCTTGCTCGAGTGCATTCCTCTGAGCAGCTTGTTTCGTGGGCTTCCGCCTGGTAGTGGTGGTGGTGGTGGTGGTGGTGGTGGTTTCGGGCCGTGCGAAGATGAAGATATTAAAATCGAAATTTTGTGGGCCGACATAAAAAGAATACGCGTTGGTAGAGAAAAAAGAAACAGAAGTAAGGAGGAGGAGAACGGGACGAGAAGTAGGAGGGCTGAAGCAAAAAAAGGGAACCGAGCGTAGAAGGTAGAAGAAAGAAAATAAAGAAAGAAAAGAAGCAGAAGAAGAAGAAGAAGAAGAAGAAGAAGAAGAAGCGAAGATGAAGTTGAAGAAGAAGAAGAAGAAAAAGAAAATAAAAAAAAAGAATAAAAGACGACAAGCTGGTGCACCGGGGCCACCCGTGCGAGATGATGGCCACGACGTGAAATCGCGTGAGGATCCTTTGGGAGTAAACAAATCAATTCCAGCCGGGACACGTTTATGCTCAGGATCGTAAATTATCATTAAGGTGATTGCCTACCAACGCATATATATACACACACACATATATATACACATACGTAGACACACGATGAGCCTGCACGCATATGGAACGTCAGTAATCCGGCAAACACGCGCCTCACGCTCCTTTGCATCGACCTCACGCATGAGGGTTATGAGGATCGTTCGGACGACGATCGTTCCCTTCGACCTAAGGAAGCTTAAATGCCACCTTCCCTACGTACATTGCAAGGAATACTACTACAAAGAAGGAAGAGGAAGAACAAGAAAGGCAGGTGTCTTAGTTTCATACAAATGAACGATATTTACATCTTTCTACGCGATATTATACTCGGATATTCGTCATTTCGATATCAATTTAAAAAAGAGGAGATAAGAACACATAATTAATAAGGAAAAAAAAAACTAGAAAAAGGGTACCACCCCTCGCCCTACCCTTCAAAGTATTTATACTTGATTTATCGTAATTCGTTAATACACCGAATTGGTTCTATGTAATTAATATTGTGTAATTTTAACAAATAACTTATCGATTGATATCAGAGATTGTGTATATATTATTATTATTATTATTATTATTAATTAATATTAGGAACTCCAAAGTTCATTGCAGCAAATACTAAATCTCGCCAGTGTATTCCCTTATTGTAAATATATATATATTTGTTTATTTATTTAATATTTAATTGGTTATCTGTTATTTTCTATATTAAATATCCGTTTAACCATACTTCGTCGTAATGTTAAAGTAGTCGGTTTTGTAGAGAGAGAGAGAGAGAGAGAGCGAGAGAGTGAATTAGATATTTTACGAGCAGGAAATGCGGCAAACGGCAACGTGACGCTGAAATAATTAATAATTTTACATATTTTTAGTTGACTTGTCTCGCACACTACAAACCCGGCAGATGATTAAATCGCGTGTACGGGGTAAAGCGGTCTAATGATACCGTTAATACTCGTATGCAAATGCAGCCGTTCGTAATAAAATCGCAACGTAGGAGGTGACGGAACGGGAAGGAAAGGGATGGGATGGGAAGGGAAGGGTGGGGTGGGGTGGGGAGGAGAGGGGAGAGGAGGGAGGCGCGTTATTTCTGGTAACACAATATAAATATTTCATGGAACGTACCGAAGGGATAAACGGGTGCACCCATCACCGGTTGCTCTCGATTTTTAACTTTAATCGTCGTACATTCCCCGTCTACCATCCATTACATTAATTTGATCGTGCGAGTTAAAAGCAGTAATATCGTTCCGTTGCACTGTAAAATGCATTTTCTTTTCTATACCCAATGGCACTTATACAATTTTACCTATTCTTTTAGCATCGAACTTATCACATTTCTGTCACAATGAAAATTAAGTTTTCATTATAATTTTTGACTCTAATGAAGAAGAAGTAAAAATAAGAACAAACAAATTCTACTCCCCACCACTCTCACATTCTATTACCCCATTAACGTCATATTTTACAATAATAAGACGGAAACACGTTTAAATGATAAAACACACATCCTTTTTATAGAATTTTCTTTAAATTTTCCTAATCCTTTTTCGTAAATCTTGTTTTTTTTTTCTTTTTCTTTATTGACTCGATAATTTTAATGTTTAATTTCTTTTAATCTGTTGTATAATAATTGTTCAAGTATTTTATAATTTTGTACAAATGAAGATATTGATGAAGATAAGAAATTTTACAGAACGTAAGATAAAAGAGAGAGAGAGAGTGAGAGGATACCTAACAGTAATCAATGAAAACTAATCTTTCATCTATAACATTCTATGAGAGCCATTAGTATGCGTATAATGATCGATTTTATTAATACTTAAATTAATACCGATTATCAAGGATAATATTAAATTTCATCGCGCGCGTTGGAGTATTTATGACATCGTTGCCTTGCTTCCTGCAGATCATCTTTTATTACAATATAATAACCTTATCGTACAAAATCAAAGTATATGAGAAAAGTTCTTACTTTTTGTGTTTCATTAAAATTGATAATAGTACAAAAATGTCAAAAGAAGATAAAAAGGACAAGCATAATTTACGTGTACGTGTAAGCTCAACAGTTTTACAAATATTTCGAAATTATACAATGTATAAAAAAATAATACAATAATTTCAACATTTCATATTGTAAAATCAATCGAATTTTAAAATAATTGTAATTAAAAAAAAAATAAATCGGTGTGTGTGTGAGAGAGAGAGAGAGTGGGGATGAAGAGTTGAAAAGTAAAATCCCATAATCTTTTGTGCACTCGTGTTAAGAGACTGGGGGGGGGGAGGGTGTAAGAAATAAAAAAGCACACGTATTCGTTTGTTGGAAAGAAAAGCTCGGTGGTAATCCTCGAAGAAGGATAGACGGGAAAAATGCTCTTACAGCATTTCCATGGGGTTTCTTCTCGCGTTGATGCACTGTCACACCCCCCATATTTTCTCTTCTCTAAAAACGATGACCATCCTGGGACGTGGCCGGAAGAGAATGGTCATTTTTCAGTCGGTGCGGAAATAAGACGTCCTCGGTTAAGGATGATAGGAATGATAGAGAGAGAGAGAGAGAGAGAGAGAGTGTATGTGTATATATATGTGTGTGTGTAAGAAAGAGAGAAAAAGAGAATCTGATGAATATAGGGAACGAGAAAAAGATAGAAAGAAAGTAATAGGTTGTACATGTACAGCTTTGACATTTTAGAAACTTATATGTCTTGAATAACACGACCGCGAACCGGTTATTCGAGATAGTTGCCAACGTGAATTCACGACACCATCACCAACCACCATCACCACCACCCCCATCGACTTCCATTTCTCGATCATATTCCTTTATGCAACGCGATCATCTCACCAGAACGTGATGAGTTATTGGTGGTCCCAGTTTTATTCGAATATACTTACTTTTTTTCTTTTTGTATCTTTCGAAATATTATATAACACATTACGGTTAATATTACTTATAGAAAATATCAAAAGAGCTTTTCTTTTCATAATTTTTAAATTACATGAATAATGACGATTACGACAAAAAAAAACTAACCCCCTCTTACATTCTTTTTTTTTTTTTTACTCTTTGGAAACAAAAAGAAAAATTAGATTCCACCCTCGTCGTGGGAACTGGACAACGATGTCGTTAAAAGATACGAAGATGATGAGAGTAAGAGGAGGGACGTTTATCGAAACGATAAAGCAATAACGATCTTGGACCATCGTACGTTTATGAGGCGATTAATTCAGTAACCATCACGTACCGTTATCCGTTGCACGAACGTGATTCCGCAACGTTCAGTCGTTAAACTCATCTTCCTTCATTTTCTTTCTTCTTTTTTTTTTTTTTTTATTTTGATTCGACGGTGTCTTCGGTTAAAGAAGAAGAAGAAGAAGAAGAAGAGAAAGATAGAAAAAAGAGTAAGTTTCTTTTTAGATTCACCCTTTTCTTTACTCGTACGTTCACAAAGTGTTGGTCGAGAAGTTCGGATGACCCCTTTGCGACGTTTCAAAATGTAAACCGGCAAAAGAGGAAAAGATTTTATCGTCGTGCAGAGACTTGCAATGCTGCGATTATAAAAAAGGGGTACTTTGCTTATGCGTCTATGGGGAGTAAAGAGAAGAAAAGTTGAACTTTACGATATCTACTTGTCATACTCGAGAAATCATAATATGCAAAATACTGTTTCTGCGATTAATGGGTAATCTTAAAACATTTTTTTTTTTTTATATCTTCTATCATTTTATATTGATTATTACTAATGAATTTTAATCCCTTCTAAGAAAAAAAGATAAATAGATTGAATAAATAAAACTACTATTATTATTATTATTATTATTATATACTATTATTACAAATATAATATATTAATATTTTTTATATATTATTATATTTATATTATTTATCATTTTATTTTTATATTATATATTATATAATATATTATTTTATATTATTTAATTTAATTTATATTTTATATATTAATGTGACATAAAATGGTAAATAAATTAACGTTTTTGTATTTCAACCAAAGATGAGTTACTTTAAATAATAATTTTGTATCATAGAAGAGTAAAAGATGTGTAGTTTGAAGATAAGATATAGAATAAGTGTAGAGTAAAAAAAAGAAGTAAAAGAAAGTAGACGAAAAAGAGAAAGAAGAAGAAGAAGAAGAAGAAAAAGATGAAAACATGAAGAAGAGCTCTAAGATAGGGTACTCCGGGCTGTCTAGAGAAGGCCTGAAATATACAGGCGACTTAACGATCCTAAAACGAGGCTTAAGCGGGCGCCCTTAGGTATTGTCCGACCGTGCAAAGGGCTTCTCAATCTTTCGTACTCATGGAATTCGGTCTCTACGAACGTAAAAGGGAAGAATTTTCTTCTTTTATTCGAAGATGTTGAAAAATTCGTTCATATTTTTTCTTATTCTTCTTCTTCTTCTTCTTCTTCTACTACTACTACTCTTATTATTTTTCTTGAATAAAATTAAACGTCATAAAAAAATAGACGGTGTAAATGAAACGATATAATCAATCATCTCGTATTTTTTTTTTAATGTTAGAAATAAAAAAAAAAAAAGGAAATGGGAAGGTTAAATAAAAATCTATCATTCGTTGAACAGTTGAACTAAGCAAACAAAACTACGTATCATTTTCTTTTTTTTAAATTTTCTTCACAGAACCACACATAGACGATCGTTCGTAGAAAAGAAAAAGAGAAGAAGCCCCTCCCCCTCCCCCTTGTGAAAAATAAAGCTGCCATGGAATATCTTGTAGGGAAATAGATAAGAAGAAATGATAAATTTGAATTTCTTCAGGCACATTCTAGAAAAAAAAAAAAAAAAGAAAAGAAATTCTTTTTTAGATCGTGTAACGTTCAAGTCAAAAGTATAAAAATTCATCAGCGAAATCTATCTTTCACTCGAGATAAAATATATATATAATACTTTTTCTTTTAGTAATCTTTATCGTAAAGTAATATTCGTTTGCATGAACGATCATAAGTGTCGAGTATACTTCAAAATGAAAGGAAGGAAGAAAGGAAGAAAGAAAGAATAGTACATTTAAGCTCTGTACAGCAACGTGCTTTTAAATTTATCACACGCGTACACGCTTATAAAACAGCTTGCGTTAAGCGTAATTTACCTGCTAATTATTTCCATTACACTATTCCGTAATTATTATAAAACATTCATTACGTCGAAAGAAAACTCGTGGAAATGTTTATTCCATTTACTCTCTTTTGCCTTATATAAATATATATATATATATATCTTTATATAAATACATACGTATATACATATATACAGATAACGAAGATATATTTGAAATTAATGAAAGATTATTCGTACTTCTATTAGATAATCATCATAGAGATGGATAATTCCAATGGTTTTTCTTCCCTATATCGGAATGATTAATTAAACAGTAAAATCTACGATAAATTAACTCGACTCGATCAAAGCTTTTAATCCGTTCTACCAAAGTTGTCATTCATCGAAAGAGACACATTCGAATCGGATTAATGACTGCCAATAGTTGATATACGTGTAGCGTACGTAATGTAAATGTAATGTCCAATCTGTCTCATGCATACTTAATAATTCGTTTACCGATCAATCGATTGACGAATATATATATATATATATATATACATATATTTCCCTTTTCCCTGTTACCTCCATGGATAATAACAACCCTGAGTCGAATAATATACCCAATCTATGTTCAGTAACAATACATTCCGATTAATTCCGATTAGTACAAGTTAAAACGAAACAGTGAACCCCATAGCATAGACATTAAATCGTTCATTACATATTCTCTCTACAAGACGATAAGAAACAACATTGTAATGTTCCTTTATTCAACAACCATGTTGTTATCGTCGTTTTCTTAGTAGTAGTAGTCAACGAGTTTTTCCCCGTTCGGGGACCATAGATTCGTAGTTGAGATTCTATCGAGTTTTCTCAAGCGAGTTATTTGAAAGAACACGAAATACACGAACGAGATATACATCGTACATTTTTACCAAGTACATGAGTCCTTTTGTTGACCTGTATATTGTGTTGAACATTTTCATGAAATTTTCAAATAGAAAAAAGATGAAACGAAAATTCTTTTTTTCTCTTTTTTTCTTTTTGCTATTATTTGATAGACGAGATGACACGAAATGTTAGATTCACAAAAGTGAAATATGTTGGCATATATTGGAAACACACTTAC